GCGTAAACTTTAATAATAGTCATATTAACTGGTCTTCCTTGTAGATGTATTGATATTGTCCTATTGCTGACAGCATTGTACTTCAGGATAGATCTTGAAATGTTCTTTTTGACGATGAATGCAACGCCATTCCTCTTCAGGTTGTCATTCCTGGCCTAGTAGACCATATGATTGTCTGATTCAGAATGGCCAGTACCGGTCCATTTCAGCTCACCAGTGCCTAGAATATCGATGTTTACGTGTTCCGTTTCATTTTTGACAATTTCCAATTTTCCTAGATTCATACTTCGTAATTCCTATTACTAATGGATGTTTGCAGCTGTTTCTTCTCATTTTGAGTCATGCCACATCAGCAAACGAAGGTCCCGAAAGCTTGACTCCATCCACATCATTAAGGTCGACTCTACTTTGAGGAGGCAGCTCTTTCCCAGTCGTCTGTTGAGTGCCTTCCAACCTGAGGGGCTCATTTTCTGGCACTATATCTGTGTTCCACTGCTGTTCATAATGGTTTCACTGGCTAATTCTTTTCAGAAGTAGACCGCCGGGTCCTTCTTCCTAGTCTGTCTTAGTCTGGAAGCTCAGCTGAAACCTGGCTACCACAGGTGACGCTGCTGGTATTTGAATACTGGTGGCATAGCTTCCAGCATCACAACAACACGCAAGCCCCGACAGCACATCAAACCGACAGAAGCATGGAGACCACAAATTTAGTGGATTAGAAAACAACACAAATTTATTCTCTTTATTCTGGACGTCAGAAGTCTGAAATGAGTCTTACAGGGCTAAAACCAAGGTATTAGTAGAGCTCGATCGTTCTGGAGACTAACAGGGAGAATCTATTTCCTTTTCTTTTCCAGGTTCTAGAGCCTGTCCCTATTCCTTGGCTTACAACCCGCATCACATGCCTTACTCCCCTGATTCCATGGTCACATCTTCCGCCATTGACCTTCTTGCTCTCCCTCTTATAAGGACCCTGTGGTTACATTTAGGACCCATTCTCATAATCCAGGATAATCTGCCCATCTCAGGATGCTTAATCTCATAAAGCAACATTCACAGGTTCCAGGGATTAGGATGTGGATAAGTATATCTTGGGGTAGGGGCATTATTCAGCCTACCATACTCAGTTAGCCCAGATTTTAGAAATTTATGATCCAGGCCCTATAGCAGTGGTGCTTAATTTGGGAGGTACTCATCATACTGGTTAAGAGGGAAAGGCCTGGGTTCCTGTTCCATCTTTGCTCCATATGATTTGCTCTTGGACAAGTTAATTTTTGTGCTGCTTTTTCCTTGTGTGTAAAATGGGAATAAATAATACAGTGTCTATCTTTTGGTAGTTGTGATGATCAAAGAAGGTAAGGCCACTGAAGCACTTAGCATAGTGCCTGTGACACATAAGAGCTCAAACAGTTACTTTATTACAAAGGCAGGTTCTAAGTTGACTCTTTAAGTGGCTCTAGGAGGTGAGGACAAAATTGGGCATTGGAGGTGCCTGGGTGTTTCATCCCAGCTGTACTTTGTCATGGTGCCAGCAGGTGGCGACATCGGCCACATCTTGACACTGCAGACCTTCATCTGCAGCAGGAAACGGTTAAGAGGTCCAGTTCTCTGGTGTGGCAGTACTCAGTTGTGACACTTGTCCTTATCCTTTGCAAGATAGGGGTTTTCATAAACAGCTAGAGTCAGTTAGGTGACTGGATGGCCTCGCCTGCAGGTCTTTCAAGTGCCAGAGACACCATCCTGGCTTTCACTGGTGAGCAGTACCACACATTCGTCCCTGAAGGCTGAGATGCCAGTTACCTAATGCAGGACTTTCGTGCAGCCAGGGTGGTGTGGACTGAAGGTTGGGACTGTGAGAGTGGGCTCAGGAGGACACCTGGTTAACAGCTCTTAACCACTTCTGTGATTCTGGGCTCGGTTGCCTAAGCTGAGAGGGTAGTTCCAAAACAAACTCTGGTATAAACAAGTCTGAGGGTCCAGTGTGAAATCCAGAATCTGAGATGGCATGGCCCAGGGAACATCCAGAAGCAACCAAGAGAAAGTGGTAATAGGTCAGAAAGCCAAAGATTTCAGGAGAAGCAGAATCCCCAGCACTAGGCTGAGAGTAATTTCAGAGTCAACAGTTCAGTTCCATGGTCCGGGGTGAGAACATGGGCTGAACACTTTATTAGCCTCCACAGGATCTGTGGTGCTTCAGAGGTACATGAAATGAAGGATAAAATGGAGAAGCCAGACTAGAGGTTTTTAAAAAAAAAAAAAGTTGCTATCAAATCAGCTCCAAAGCATGGTGACCCCATGTGTATCAGAGTAGAACTGTGCTCCATAGTGTTTTCAGTGGCTAATTTTTGAGAAACAGGTGGCCAGGCCTTTCTTGAACCTCCATCCTTTTCGGTTAGAAGTTAAATGTGTTAACCATTTATACCACCCAGAGAGAAGGGTTACGATTGCATAAAATGGTGATTGATTTTTTAAATTTGTGTTAATATGTTGTAATTTAAATATATTGACTTAAGCAAACACTTCTGTTGATTTGATAACTGTTTAATATTGGGTAGTCTATACCTGTAATGTTAAATTCTAACAAGATAGGAGATAAATGTACGGTTGATGTAGCCTGCTGTGGTTTCAGTAATGTACCACAAGGTGGCACCAACTTCAAAAACTGGTTTCGCCGCTTAAGGAAATTGTGAGTATACGTTGCAAGCTCCAGATCGTGTAAAGTTGTGAACAAAGAGATACCCTAATGGGAGAAAGCTTTGTGATGTCAAGTCGTTGCCCTTGGAAGCATTTGAACTATGTATACTTTTTGAGTCTACTTTATAGAATTAAAATGTTAAAGCTAGAAGGATCCATCGGGTTTCCCCATTCCCTTATTTTCAAGTTAGTGGGAGATTTACAGAGGCTCTAATTCTGTTTTTAGAAGTGAAACCATTCTCAAAAGGGAGGTATAAGAGGAGTATGCTGTTTCCAATACAAAAACAGCTCTAAATTACATAAAATAATCTTCAGTAAAATCTCACTAAATTTCCCTTATTTTTGTATTTTGTTGATTTTTTTTTTCCCAAGAAATGTAAGGGCCAAAGAGATTAACTGTTTTCTCACATATTAGTATAAATCAGCTTCTATAATCTGATCTGCAAAATATTTAATTTAGATGATCAGTTAATTCTTAATTGTGAAGTTTTTTTGTCAAGGAGATACTTTTATTTAGTAGAAATTCTACTCATGATAATAAAGTTAAAGCTTTCTATTAGAAAAAATGCTCAGGTTACTTTCCATTAGTCTTGTCCTCCCATTAGCCTGTCACTGACTACTTAAATACACTTCCTCTTTCAGGAAGTATCAGCCCAAGGAAACCTTCCTATTAATGTCACTTACATAGTTCTTAGTTTTAACAGTTGATTTAGTACTTCATTATCTTTGTGATTGTTTTTGTTTTTCTTAGTCATTGAATTTAATTAAATCCTAGAGAGTACACTGTCTCCTCAATCAATGACATGGTTAGGTTCCAAAGACCAGGTCGTTATGTGAAATTGGTGTTATGCGAAAATGGAGGATGACCACATCAGATCACAAAATGGAGGATAATTAACATCATTACATAACTGCCAAACCACTGAGAATCATGGTCCAGCCAAATTGACACATAACCTTAACCATCACAGCCAGTGTTAGTCTCACCTCAGCATTCATTACTGCCAGATGTACGTCATTAATGTGCAAAATAGTTAGGTAGTAGTTTTTTTACTGTTGTCGTAAATGCAAAATTTTGTATAATGAGATAGTGAGGAGAAGGTGTAGTACCAAGTTTCTTTGATTCGAATTAGTTCCTGAAGACAAAGACTATAGAGTTAATCTCTAGAAAATGCAATAGAACACTTGAATTAAAAAAATAAAAATTAGACTAACTTTGAATGACATATATATGTATGTATGTGTATACACGTATGTATGTGTGTATAGGTGGCACAAATGGTTTGCACTCGACAGCTAACCTAAAGATTGGCAGGTTGAACCTATCCAGCATTACTGAGGAAGAAAAAGCCTGACAGTCTCCTTCTGTTAATATTACAGCCAAGAAAACTCTGTGGCACCATTCTTTGCACACCAGGGCGTTGCCACGAGTCAGAATGGACTTGACAGCAGCAAACAACAGCAATGTATACACATACATACATACGTGTATGAATGACAGCTTGATTTCATATATGTGGGGGGGGGCTAACCTTTCACGATATTCCAACTCCTGCCTTTGTTTCGTTTCCAGTTCTATGATTCTGTGATTCTAGTGGCATGAGGAAGAAAAATTTCTGTTTCTTTTTCAAATAGGTTAATGAGGAGAAAATGAGCCCTCGTGGCACAGTGATTAAGCGCTCAGCTGCTAATCGAAAGGTCGACGGTTAGAACCCTTCAGCGGCTCCGCAGGAAAGAAGACCTGAGAATCTGCTCCCGTAAAGATTACAGCCTAGGAAACCCCATGGGGCAGTTCTACTCTGTCATACAGGGTCGCTATGAGTTGCAGTCAGCTTGGCACACAACAGTGAGGACAAATGGTTACCAAATGGCTCTAAGATTTTATATCAGCAGTCTTCTGAACATTTTTTATTACGTAGCCCATTTGGTAGAAAAAATAAAGTTGTTAATAAAATACTTTCTAGAACCATATTTGCCTCTTTTTAGGTTTGATTTTTCTAACTTCAGCTCAAGTACCTTTTCTGTGCTTATTTATAATTCACACAGTCAGAAATAAATGTGATATAGTCCAAAGAGGTAACCCATGCTTTGGTTATTTCTGGAATGTAGAAGACCTTCAAGTATTTGTTGAATGAGTGAATGTTTTTCAGTAATTTTCAGATTTTTTAAATAACTGGAGCTTAGCAGGAGTTGAGAAGAGCAATATGAGCACGAGTAAATGCATTTGCCTGAAATAATGTCTTTGTTTCTGATGAAAAATGACCAAATGTGTTATCTTTATTTTTCTCCCCCTTTCTCTCCCTTAGATTGGAATAATTGGTGGAACAGGCCTGGATGACCCAGAAATTTTAGAAGGAAGAACCGAAAAATACGTGGATACTCCATTTGGCAAGGTTAATATCCAATTCATGGAGACATGTCAGCTTTTTTCTTACTCCTTGCTGGCTTGGTTTTTAAGTTAAACAATAAAGAATTGCTTTGTCTTGGCAGTCCGGGTCTGCGGGCCCCAGGTGGGAAGGGCCAGGAGTCCTACCTCTGGATTCTATCAGCTGAGCTGGTTTCTGAGGGAGGCCTTGAACCTTGCTGTGTTGACAACATGGCTTGGGCATGCACAAATAACTTTCGATTTATGTATTTCTAGAAGCCAGATACTCATTTTAGACATAGCAGCTGTACTCTTCTGGCCTCCCCCATTCAAATCAGCTTACCTCTGTTTTAGGCCTTTGGGTCACCCAGTGCTAATTCAGGGGATAGTCTGATGACTAAAGGGAGGAAGTATCATTACCAAGAGGAGCCCTGGTGGTGCAGTGGTTAAGCGCTTGGCTGCTTACTGAAAGGCTGGCAGTTCGTACCCACCAGTCATTCCACAGGAGAAAGATGTGGCTGTCTGCTTCTGTAGAGATTACAGCCTTGGAAACCCTATGGGGCAGTTCTGCTCTGTCCTCTAAGGTCGCTGTGAGTTGGAATTGACTCACCGGCAGTGGGTTTTATCATTACAAAGCGGCGTTTTTTTAGTGAGCCCTGGCCCAAAGGAGGATTATCTTAGGGATCTGGAACACAATTGATGTTGTAAATGTATGACTAAACTGGAAATAAAATATCCCTCCTTTTTTCGTTGAGACCATTATTCTCGAAGCCCCTGTGTCACCCAGCCTGGACCCAGGTGGGGTGTCTGCCTTCTCCTAATTCCATATTACTACCTCCAAACATCACACTTCCTCTGATCCTCCTGTGAACATCCCCATATCTGACCATCCCAACCACACCGCCCTTTTCCCTGTCTCCTTAGACGGACCTTGGGTCCTCCAAGTCCTGCAGTCAGCTTGGCCAGCTTCTTACCTCCTCATTTCTTAACCTCCTTCAGTTCCAAGGGCCTTTTTCCACTCCCTCAAGTCATTACATGGCCATCTCGGACCTAGTTAAGACAAGCAAACAGGTCCAGTGCTGATTTCTTAAATCCCATGAAGCTTCTGTCCTTTCTGCCTTTCACTTGCACACCTGTTTTTGAACCTGCCAAAGACTATCCCAGATCCTTGAGGTGCCTGCTACAAATAGATGTGACTAAATAGTACCTACCCAGGCACCCAAGGCAGACTTCAGAGTTCTGTTGATGGCTGTGCCTCCAGAGGGCTCAGCACATATTTATTGAATGATTAAGCTGATCACTCAAATCTAGACTTCTTTTACTTCTCTAAGGTAAATCCTCTTGTGGATGAACAGTTCAAATGGCAGCTTTTTAATTGTGTGTATATATACACGTGGAGTCCCTGGGTGGCAAACAGTTAAGAGCTCGGCCACTAACTGAAGGTCGACCTTTCGAATCCACCCAGAGGCTCCTCAGAAGAAAGACCTGGCGATCTACTTCTGAAAGATCACAGCCATTGAAAACCCTATGGACCACAGTTCTGTTGTAACACATGAGGTTGCTGTGAGCTGGAATAGACTCCGTGGCAACTGGTTTGGTTTTGGGGGGTGTGTGTGTGTATATTTGGTATGTGTGTATATATATATATTTATATATAATGTTTTAAAATCATTAAGTTGAAATCATTTCTCTTTATGTGTAGCCATCCGATGCCTTAATTTTGGGGAAGATAAAAAATGTTGATTGTGTCCTTCTTGCAAGGTACGATATTTTAAGCTTCTTGAATGTTACTACTAAATGCGAATTTATATTTCCCTTAGTTTCTGAAAAGAGTAATGATGTAAAGGTTTATGTGTTGTTGAAGTCACCTGGCTACACCACTGATGGCGCTGGAGTTACGCTGACTTTGGATGCCAGAGATCTCGTTTCTGTTAGATTGGGAAAGTGGTCACAACAGGCCAGTAGATGTGATGAGTTCGACTAAGCTTGAGGCTCTGGTTTCAGTTCAAACTGTGAAAGGAAATGTTTTCTTCTGTTCATTTTTTTTTTTCCGTCTGATTATCAATATCATGAAAGACGATGGTTCAACTATGACCCCTTGCGTAGTGCTAGTTGCATCTACAGAGGCTGTGGGTTTAGGGTCTCCAAAGTAGGCTGCTGATAGTGTCCATACCCTTGATTCTTTGATGAGGCTAGTGCTCGTTTTATAGAGATTTGTATTCTGCTAATGATGCAGTTGTTTTCAGACCTTTTTGTCTTCCATTTACTATGTTTCCTTTGCCCTGGGGTTCTTCCATTAAAATCTTTTCTCTAGCTCACTGTCTTTGATTCCTTGCCCCAGTCTTGGTTTCTCTCAAGTGAAAAACGCATTCTAAATTTAGGTAGTCTTTATTTAAAAAAAAAAAAAAAAAGGACAAAATAATTTTTATCACATAGTTAGAAATTAGTCAAATTACATGTGTTAGTTTTCTGTTGCTGCGTAACAAGTTACCACAGATGTAGCTGTGTAAAACAAGATACATGTATTCCCTCACAGTTTCCGTGAGTCAGGAGTCTGGGCACAGCTTAGCTAGGTCTTCTGCTCAGGTCTCACAAGGCTGCACAGGGTGCATCTGGAGCTTGAGGTTCTCTGCCAAGTTCATGCTGTTGTTGGCAGAATTTAGTTCCTTGCGGTTGTAGGCCTGAGGCCGTCAGCTCCTGGAGCCACCCGCAGTTCCCTACTGTGTGGCCCTCTCCATCGGCAGTTGACGACATCATAGCAACAGCTGGTTTCTTCAAGACGAGCAGGAGAGTGTAAGCTGCCAAGTGGAGCCCACTCATGGGAGGGCCATTCCAGCACCTGTCATATTCCATTGGTTGGAATCAAGTCTCAGTTCCACCCACACTCAAGGGGGAGATTATATAGGGTGTAAACATGGGACCACCCTAGCGTCTATTTGCCACTCTGCATTTTTAAAGTATAAGTGACTCTTCTGAATCCAGTAAAACTAAATTGTAGTTTTAGATGGTCACGTGGGGTGGATTTCAGGAAATTAGTTGGTCTGTGGTCATTGCTGGAGAATCACTTAATTTTTCCAGATTGTAGGAGAAAACGAGGAGCCCTGATGGCACAGTGGGTAAAGCACTCGGCTGTTAACCAAAAGGGTGGCAGTTAGAACCCACCAGCCACTCTGTGGAAGAAAGATGCTGCTTCTGTAAATATTACAGTGTTGGAAGTCCTATGGGACAGTTCTCCTCTATCCTGTTGGGGCACTATGAGTTGAAATTGACTCGATGGGTTTGGGTTTGCGTCTGGTGGGAGAAAACAGTGGGTGGTGTGGCCCGTGGTGTTTTATGCTCCTGCGAACTGAAGTGAACTGAAATGTGTTGAGCTGTGAAATGTTTGACCCTCTAATGCAGTGGTTATTAGCTACCTTTAATTTTTTAATTTCTTTTGAAAGATCTCATCAGAGTTTTAGAGTCCAGCCTCAGGAAAATACATATCCTTTCTGAGCATTCATGGACCCCTGCCAGCTTCTTCTGACAATTAGTTCTTTTCTGAGTGTTTTTAATGCCCTGAGCACTCATCTGCCTGTTCTACTCTCCATCCCAGGCATGGGAGGCAGCACACCATCATGCCTTCAAAGGTCAACTACCAGGCGAACATCTGGGCACTGAAGGAGGAGGGTTGTACACATGTCATAGTGACCACGGCTTGCGGCTCCCTGAGGGAGGAGATTCAGCCCGGTGATATCATCATTATTGATCAGTTCATCGACAGGTGAGCAAGCTCTGTACACGGTCCGGGCTGTTGTAAGATCATTCCCTAGGTAGTTGTCATGGATTGAATTGTGTCCCCCCAAAATACCTGTCAACTTGGCTGGGTCATGATTCTCCCAGTGTTGTATGATTGTGTACTGTTTTGTAATCTGATGTGATTTCCTTATGTGTTGTAAACTCTATCACTATCATGTAATAAGATGGATTAGCAGCAGTTAGACTGATGAGGTCTGCAAGAGTGGATAGGGTCTTAAGGCAATGTCTTTTGAGATATAAAAGAGTGAAGTGAGCAGAGACACAGGGGAACCTCATACCACCAAGAAAGCAGTGCCGGGAGCAGAGTGCATCCTTTGGATCTGAGATTCCTGCACTGAGATGCTCCCAGACCAAGGGAAGACTTGATACATCACAAGGACCTTCCTCCAGAGCCAACAGAGAGAGAAAGCCTTCCCCTGAAGCTGATGCCCTGAATTTGGACTTGTAGCTTACTGGACTGTGAGAGAATAAACTTTTCTTTGTTAAAGCCATCCACTTGTGGTATTTCTGTTACAGCATCACTAGATGACTAAGACAGTAGTGCAAATGGTTAACGTGCTCAGCTGCTGACTAAAAAGTTGGGGGCTCAAGTTCACCCAGAGGCACCTTGGAAGAAAGGCCTGGCGATCTACTTCTGAAAAATCAGCCATCGAAAATCCTACGTAGCACAGTTCTACTCTTACACATATGGGGTCACCGTGAGTTGGAATTGACTCACCGGCAGCTGGTGAAATATCATTCCCACCCCAGGTGGATGATCTTTGGGAACCTGGGGGAGAGGGGAGGGTGGGGCCACAGACAAGTTTTAAGCTTTTTATTGTGGGAATTTTTAAACATATCCAACATTCAGTGATACCATGAACTCTCAAGTTCCTATTTCTAGCTTCAACAATTATCAATTCATTGCAGTATGTAACTTTAAAAGATAAGATATGAAGCAGACACACATATTAATTAATATTTCTTTAGTAGCTGGGCAATGATCTCCTTTTTCTTAATGTCACATGAACTTGTTTTTTTATAGTTGGTTTGGTCAAATAAAGGTCCAGATGAGATCCGCTCACAGACAGACGGGCCTGATCAGCCTTTTAGTCCAGAAGTTTCCACTTGCTCTTTTCCTTTTTCTTTTTGTCCTGCAAAGCCTCCCCACATTCTAGATTTTTAGGGATCTAAATGTCCCTACATGATTGCATCTCTAAGTGTCACTTATTGCCTTCCTCTTTCCCCTGTAAACTGGTAGTTAGCTCTGGAGGCCTGATCAGAACCAGGTTTGATTTCTAGGCAGCAATACTTCTGCATCCCATCAGGAGGCATGTCACATCTGTTCGTTTCGTTTCTTTTTTTCTTTTTTGAGAGTGTACCAATCTCCCTTTGTTTTTATTTTCACGACGTTAAGCTCAATCAGTTCAGTCGGGTGCCAGGACTTGTTTATTTTTCGATTGCAAATAAGATGTAACATTCCTTTTCCAAAGAGTTAAGCAATAACAGAATGCCGAGCTCTTGCGCCTTTTGAAGTAGTTGAAGAAATCACAAAGGAAGGTGATGATGTCCTGCGTGTGGGACAGGGGCCTCTGCTTTCTACTGCTTGGCCCCATGGTGGGGTAGGGTGGAGTGCCGCGGGGTGTAGACCACTTGAGGACTCTGACCGCTGTCTGCATCCAGTCCATCCTGTTCCTCACAGCTGTCGTCTCTGAGCTTGCTGCACCCTTAGAGAGTTCTAAGGAAGGTTTATTGAGTCCAGTTCTATACGTCTTCTATGGAATGAAACTGCATTAGGTTGAATCATATGAAATTGCTCATTTTGTAGGTCAGAAATGGTTGAGTATCAACAATTTCATGTAGTCCAATCAAATAAATAATAGAAGATAGACTAATGTCAGCGCCCATGGAAGCAGTAGTTAAGAAATCAGACGATGTATTGCATTGGGAAAATGTGCTGTAAAAGACCTCTTTTAAAGTATTAAAAAGCAAAGATGTCACTTTGAGGACTAAGGTGCGCTTGATCCAAACTATGGTGTTTTCAGTCATGTGATATGCATGCGAAAGCTGGAAAATGAATAAGGAAGACCGAAGAAGAATTGACGCCTTTGAATTACGGTGTTGGTGAAGAATATTGAATATACCATGGACTGGCAAAAGAACGAACATATCTGTCTTAGAAGAAGTACAGCCAAAATGCTCCTTAGAGATAAGGATGGCGAGACTTCATCTCACATATTTTGGACATATTATCAGGCAGGACCAGTCCCTGGAGAAGGACATAATGCTTGGTAAAGTACAGTGGCAGCAAAAGAGAGGAAGACCCTCAGTGAGATGGATTGATACAGTAGCTGCAGTGAGCTCAGGCATAACAAAGATTGTCAGGATGGTGCAGGACTAGGCAGTGTTTCATTCTGTTGTACATAGGGTCACTAAGAGTCAGAACCGACTCAACGGCACCTAACAACAACAGACTAAAGTCATATGTGCCTGCCTTTTTGATTGTTATTGATTAGTGGCTGACTTTGTATAATTTATTTTCTTATTTATTATCCATCTTCCTCTCCAGAACCTAAGCTATACGAGGGCAGGGACCTATCTGTCTTACTTTGCCACTCTGACCCTGGCACCTAGAGCAGTGCCTGGACAATGGTTGCTCCACCAGTATTTTTTGAATTATTGAATGAACGTGCTTGTTGCAAGAGAGGCAGGCTGAGGTTGGTGTTCAGAGGACTTTTTGATTGAAGTCCCTATAGTCTTCAGAGTCCCTGTGTTTAGAGGTTAATGACATAAAATGATTGTACTATGATTGTTTTAAAAAGCAGAATGTAAAACTGCATATCCAGAGTGATCCAGCTTTTGTATAGTGTTATATATGAAACTGGAAAGAAAAGTCTGAATTGGGTACTAAGCTTGGGATGAATTTGTTACTTAAATTCTGTAAGTACACATTGCCGCATTTCCCAAATCTTTTCTCACGTGTAGTGAACACAGATGTTCATATACTGGCTCTTCCAAGGAAGCAGTTGGGTCAGAAAGAGGGAGAAGAGGAAGAGATCTGGCCTCCCTCTCATCTTGGCACTCAGCTGTATAGTCTTGGTGGCAAGCAGCTTAATCTTTTGGTGTCTGTTTCCTGTGATGTATGGATAAGCTGCTTCCATAGTGTTCCCATGAAAGTTCAAAATACCCTAGCAAGTGCCTTTTGTTGGAGCATTGGTGGTGCAGTAGTTAAGAGTTTGGCTGCTAACCAAGAGGTCAGCAGTTGGAATCCACCAGCTGCTCCTTAGAAACCCTATCGAGCAGTTCTACTCTGTCCTGTAGGGTTGCTATGAGTCAGAATCAACCTGATGGCAACGGGTTTGGTGTTGGTTTAGCACGTGTTACCTACCCAATAAATGGTGCCAAGTTAGTAAAACGAGAAAAAGTCTGTTAAGAGGAGGACCCCTGGGGAATATCACTTTAGTGTAAGATACACACTTGTTATTCATTGCCGTGGAGTCAGCTTCCACTCATGGTGACTCCAGGTACTACGGAATGAAACACTGCCCAGTTGTACTCCATCTTCGTGATCATTGGAATATTTGAGTCCATTGTTGAGGCCATTGTGTAGTGCCTTCCAACCTAGGGGGCTCATCTTCCAGCACAATACTGGGCAGTATCCTGTTGTGGTCCATATACTTTTCGTTAGCTAATGTTTGGAAGTATATCGCAAGGCCTTTCTTCTAGTCATAGTCTGGAAGCTCTGCTGAAACTTGTCCACCATGAGTGACACCTGGTTTTTGAAATACCAGTGGCGTAGCTTCCAGCATGGTAGCCACATGCAGGCTACTACAGTACAGCAAACTGACAGACGGGTGGTGAGAAATACATAGTAGGTTCCTAAAAATAAGAATGAAATCTCATTAATGATTTTCATATTGATTATATGTTACAATTATAGTATTTTGGATATATTAGGTTAAGTAAGATATCAAAACTGATTTTACCTGTTTCTTTTTACTTTTTTAATGTGGCTACTAGAACATTTTAAATTTCACATGTGGTTCGTGTCGTGTTTCTATTGGATAGCACTTTCTCAATAACAGTGCCGCTGGTGAGCATGTGGTTTTCAGTTCACCAGGCTTAGGCATGAATATGACTCACCATGAGTGTTTGAATGGCTCATAGGAGAAGAAACCAGGACTGTTTGCCTTGTGGGTAATGGCCTCTGTGTGTTGTACTGATGGTGCATTTTGTGGTAATGTCGACCTTAGGCCATTTCTAGGGATTTAAGTCAACACTACTGTGTTGAGGCAGGTGCCTGACACCACCACTTGGTGCTGTCATTGGTCTCTGAATGGTGAGCCATGAGCTAGAGGCTGTTGTTAGCCTAAGGTTCCCAAAGTTGTACCCACAACCCCAGCTGGTTTGACAGAAAGTACAAAGTTTCACAAAGCCACACATGGATTGTAGAACCACAGGGTGCAGGAACACTGGATTAGGAGGTTGCATCTTGCTTCTCTCTGGCCTCGGGCAAATCACTTCACCTCCCTGGGTCTCTGTCCCCTCCTTTCACTGCACTGCTGGTGTGTTCTTCTTCAGGGACTGATCTAGAAACACACACATTTTCCTGTTGGCTATAACTTTGCCAGCACATTGTCTTAGAGAAAATACCCTTGTCCTAAAGTGGTTTTCAAAGTCTAGACAGAGCATTTTAATCTCCCTAACATAAGTTTGTGATAAAGGAAGAGGTGCAATAGAGTAGTATGGCTATTCTTCTATAGATGGCAGAACTACTTTCTCTACCCTTAGTGCCCAGCAGAGGAAAAAAATACCAACCCAGCATATCAGCCATGCCCTGCATACCTGAGTGGTCCTTAAGGCTTAAGAGTGACAGGTGACTCTGATTTTCAGAGTTGTTTTTAAAAACATTAAATTTCTACTCTAAAAATGACAAACGGCCTTGAAGGAATCTTAGAGGTCAGAAGCTCTTTAAGAAAATAAGGT